GGTACATAGATAGATAAGCAGTCTGATAGATTAGAAAATAAATATTTTACAAAAATTTTTTATCTGGTTTAAATAAGGTATTACCTATTCAAAATTTCTTAATGAAGGAAGCTCTATTAGCTTTGCAGTCAGGGAAAACATACTCAGAAGTTATGAATTAGAGAACTTCTTCTTTGACTATGACCTTGACTAAATAAGATCGAAGTCAGCTAACTCAAAAGGCTTCCATAGCCTTGACAGCTCATGACTAGAGCCTAGCGAGATTACTGACGCCATAAACAAGAGTGTCAATTTGTTAAGTCAACAACAGGGGGCACTGTGCACTTACTCCTCATGTAGGATCTCTGTCCTTAAGGTGCTGTACATTGTGATTTAATGCTATAACTAGTACTCAAACAGTATTTTTCACTTTGTGTTTCTGTGTGGGTGCAAACTGATGAAATCTTTACTTAATATATACTAAATCGATCTTCTGTAAATAAAGATAATTGAAAATGAATCTTGATATGAATGGAATGGGAGAGGGAGTGGGAGATGGGAGGGTTGTGGGTGGGAGGGAAGTTATGGGGGGGAAGGCCATTGTAATTCATAAACTACTTTGGAAATTTATATTTACTAAATAAAAGTTAAAAAAATAAAAATAAAACCTATCTATTTGCTTCCTACAAGAAACACATCTCACCAACAAAGATGCATGCAAACTGAAAATGAAAGAATGGAAAAAGATTTTTCATGCTAATAGAAACCAAAAAAGAGCTGGTGTAGCCATCCTAATATCAGACAAAATGACTTTAATACAAAAGCTGTTAAAAGGGACAAAAGAGGGTACAATGTAATGATTAAGGTTTCAATTCAACAGGAAGATGTAACTATTATAAATGTTTATGCACCTAATTACAGGGCACCTGGCTATTTAAAAGAAACAGTAAGGGATCTAAAGGGAGACATAGACTCTAAATATGTGATGATGTTTAGGCTTTGTTTCTGTTTAGTAAGGCTTTTCACCATTGATTAAATGAAAGAATGTATCTTTTTGAAAAGATTTATATTCTGTAAATAAAAATTAGAAGAAAATTAAAAATTAAAAACTGAGATTGGAGTCAATGGTTCACTCCAAAGTTATTTTTCGGTGTTCTTTCAGATGAACCCAGATTCCTTCTCTATCTTTAGGAACTTTAATTAGATTGAGGCTCAAAAATTTTGCAAATATTGCTGACTACCACGTGAATTATTTTGAGTATTCTTGCACCCTCCAAAATTAATATTTTATAATGTTATACTTTTATTTAAATATAAAATCTAAGATTCCACTGATCAGTGTGTAAGTTTTTCTAGTTTTTAATTAAATATTTTTATAAATATTCAGCTATTTCTTGCTTAACTTTCCCATTATAAAATTTTCAGATAACTAGCCAATATTCACTATACAATGGATCAATGTGATAAGGAATCAAAATTTATGCTATATATTTGTCTCATTTAGCCATTTATCTGTTCCCTTCTTATCCCAAAATTACTTGAGACTCAGATCAAAGCAAAGCTAATGAGAGCAGAGTCACCTCTACTGGGATCTGTTTTCCCCAACCCCTTGTTCTGTATCAAATAATCCTATCCTAATGTCCTTTCCACAATTCAGGAAACTATAATGGGCAGCAGCATAATCATAACAGAGACTGTGAGTGTGATGACTCCAGACTTTGTTCTCCCTATCTAACACAATCCACGTACATCCTCTACTGAGTGCCTGATTTTACTACAAGAAGTCACCTTACCACCCCCATCTATCTGCCACCTGCCATAGAGCAGCTGCATATATTTACCGTCAACTGAGAGACAAATCTATATTTATCTGGATGTGGGAGATGCTAAATTTGCCAACAATTGACAAATTAATCTGGAACGAGAATGCATATAGAAACAGCCTACAGTATGCCATTATGTTGTGACATAAATATATAGTCTCTTCCTTCGATTTATGCCAGAAGCAAATGAACAATGTTTCTGCCACATGAATAATTTCTCATCTGCGTTAGTAAGCCATTATTTGTCTTTTATCTTTTTGAGTTCTTATCAGTGATAAGAGAAAGTAATAATTAAGCATGAAATTCATAAAATCTACAAATGTTAAAGTCAAAGTATCAACCTAATGAAAAATTAAATTTAAATTAGCTCTTTCTCTTCTTGTATATAAGGGTTGTTTAAAAAGTTCATGGAAAATGGAATTAAAAGCTAAGTTTATTGTGTTGCAAAACATGTACTGCGTGTCTTACTACAGACTCATTAGGCTTTTCATAGTGTAGTCAGGTTTTAACTCATATGTATAAATAAGTGATTTGACCCTCCTGTTTACTGAGATAATATAACCTAGTAGTTAAGAACATGAATCAGAGATCCTTATATTGAAAAGCAAACTTGGGGCAGCTGTTTGCCAAAGTGATTAGGATATCACTTGAGCTGCATGCATCACATTTTGGAGTACCTGGGATCAAGACTCACTCTGTTCTGCTCATGATTTTATCCTGCTAAGGTGCACCTTGGAATGTTGCATGTGATAGCTCAAGTAGTTGGGTCCCTGCCACTCATGTGGGGGACTTGGATTGAGTTCAAGTCTTCTGGCTTTTGTCTGGCTCAGCTCTGCCTGTTATGCACATATGGCAAGTGAATCAGTAGATGAGATCTCAATCCCTCTCTCTTTCCCTCTCTGTCTCTCTCCATCTCCCTGTCCTTCTCTTGCCCTTTCAAATAAGTAAAATAAATATATTAAAGAGAAAAATAATAACCTTCCTCCTTACTTGCAATGTAACATTTTTTAAGTTAATATTGGGTAATTCAAATATTTTCTCACCTTTGAAGCAAATAGCAGCCAGGTGGCCTTAATTTAGCTAATAAATCCATCTGCTGTACAAAGCCCATAGTTTAATGCCTGGTATAATGTACTCAATGTTACTTCATTACTAATAGTAAATATTATATATCATTGCACTTTTACTGTTAACTACCTCACAAATAAATACTAAAGTTTGCAGGAGCTACCAAAGAGCCTAGAGACTGGCCCAACAGAAGATCATTAAACACTGGTTCAATAATAAAAGAAAGTCAAGATCTGCACAAATCTACTATACAGAAAAATCACACATTTTGTGGGTGTCTGTGTGTTTAAAGATTATAGTGGGTAATCATCACTTCACAATTAGGAACATTTTATTTCTTTTTTAATAGATTTATTTTATTTATTTGAAAGGCGTAATTACCAAAAAAGATAGAGGGAGAGACAGAGAGAGAGAGGTCTTCCATCCACTGCTTCCCACCCCAAATGACCACAACAGCTGAGGCTGCACCAATCCAAAGCCAAGAGCCAGGAGCTTCTTCCAGGTCTCCCATGAATGCAGGGACACAAGAACTTGGGTCATCTTCCACTGCTTTCTCAGTCACATTAGCAGGGAATTGGATAGGAAGTGGAGTAGCCAGGGCTCAAACAGGCACCCATATGGGATGCCAGTGCTGCAGGAGGTGTCTTACTCTGCTGCACCACAATGCCGACCCAAAGAGCATTTTCAACATATTAATGATAGTCAATTTTAGGTCAAAATTTTTCTTTCTGTGGCAGGATACTTACTTAATATTAGATAAGCTCGAGTGTAGAAATGAGACATTCTTTAGAGAAATAATTTGTCTAAACCTAGTAGAATTATGCTTATGGATAGGAATTTGGCCAGGTGTTTAAGATGCCACTTGCATCCCATGTGGGAATGTCTGATTTCAACACCTGACTCTACTCTTGATTCCAGCTTCTTGCTAATCTACACCCTAGATGGCAGCAGGGGATGGCCCAAGTAGTTGGATCCATGCTTCCCAAGTGGGAGACCTGGACTGAGTTCACAGCTCCTGATGTCAGGTTGGTCCAGATCTGGGCATTTGGGGAGTAAGCCTGCAAGTGGGTGATCTCTCCCTGCCTGTCTCTGTCTCTTTCTCTTTCTCACTCTGTTTCTCTAATAAAAGGAACAAATATGAAAGAATTATGCCTATATTTTGACACACTTTTAGAGTGCTTGCCCACTGTTGATCCAAGTAAACATGAATTGCTTATCATTTGAACATTAGAGGTAAATCTCAGAAATTGGTAGGCAACTCTAAAATACCATTTCAATTTTGTTCATTTGCTAATATATCTACAGCATTATTTAAAATTCATTGTTTACATTTTTTCTTGATTAGATACAAACATTTTAAAGTTAGCACATGAATGATATGCATGGCAATAAAAGAGAATATTTTTAAAAGACCCATTGAACACAATTAGCACCCAGTTCTTGGCTTCTAATATCATTTTCCAATGAAAGAAAACAGAGATCCTTGAAAAAATACTTGATGCTAGAAATGGACGAGAAGTAAATGAAATATCTTGTACTTCCCTTAAGTAATAAAATACAGACAAAAACAAAACATAAGAGTCAACAGCATGATGGGGTATATAATAGACAGACTGAAGCCTTCCGAAAAAGCAACCAATGGCAAAACTGAAACAATCTGAGTAAAATAAGTAACTCAATGAAGTCTTACTGGATTATAACCCAATGCGTAAAATAAATAATTATGAGTTTTTATTAATATAAATAAGTCATTTACTACATAATATGAAGAAGAGATAAATCTCTCCAGATAAAATCCAAAAAATATATGTACAGCTTGTACCTTTAAGGAGGTAAAGCTAAACTCTGCACTTCTTACATGTAGACTTTTCAAGATAAATTTCTCCCAAAGAGCACAACATGCAAAGTAAGGGGAAACAAACTTAAAGAAAGAATAACTTTACAGTGAAGAATCCTGAAAATTATTGTCCCAGCCAAGGGATCAAGGTTAACACCAGCAGTCAAGCCATATTGACATACCTAAGAGAGATACAATGCAGGGAGCACGGCCCTGTTTAGTCAATAAAGTGCTGCTAGAATAGAACACCCAAGGATTAGTGATTTATACAGAAGAGAATTTTATATGCTCACAGTTCTGGAGGCTGGGAAGATCAGGGTGCTGACCCCTGGTGTCCAGAGAGGGCCTTCTTGCTGTGTCCTCACAAAGTAGAAGGTGGCAGCAAAACACCAATGGCATCTGTACAGAATTAGAAAATAACAATGCTAAAATCAATGCTAAAATCCACACGGAATCATAAAAGACACAGAACAGCCAAAGCAATCCTGAAAGGGGGGAAAATCTGGCTGCATCACAATACCTGACTGCAAAATATACTACAAAGTATTAGTAATTGAAACACAAGACACTAGCATAAAAAAATTCAATGGAACAGAATAGACAAGAAATGAACCCATGCACAAACAGGCAACTGATTTTTGACAATGTTCCAAGAGCATACATTCAAGAAAGGACAGTCTTATTTTAGAAAAAATAAAGGCTAATTTATTTGAAAGGTAGAGTTACAGAGAAAGAGGGAGAGACAATAAGAGACAGAAACACACACACACACACACACACACACATATCTTCCCGTCCACTGATCACTTTCCAAATGGCAGCAAAGGCCAAGGTTGGGCCAGGCTGAAGCCAGGAGCCAGGAGCTTTATCTGGGTCTCCCACATGAGTACCAGGGACCCAAAAACTTGGACCATCTTCCACTGCTTTCCTAGGCTCATTAGCAGGGAGATGGATTGGAAGTCAAGAAGCAAGGACTGGAACAGGTGCTCATATGGGATGCTGGCATCACAGGTGGTGGCTTAACCTGCTGCGCCATAACACCAGCCCCAAACAGTTTTTCAAACAAATGGCATTGGCTTAGTTGAACATTATACATAGAACAATGAAATTGGATTTCTACTTTTCACTGTATAAAAAGCAATGCAAGATGGATCAAAGACTTAAGTATAAGACCTGACTCTACGAAATTGCTAAAAGAAAATTTAGGGAAAAAACTTTTAATAGTAGTGTACAAAAGCAAAACCAGGAAAATGAGACTATATCATACTCAAGCTCTGCACAGCAAAGGAAACTATCAAAAGAGTGAATAAGAGAAAGTATTTGCAAGCTTTTTATCTGACAAAAGATTAATATCCAGAATAAATCAGAAACTAAAATCACTAAATAGCAGCAACAACAATAAAAAAAATCTAGTCAAGAAATGGGCAAAGGACCTGAATAGAGAGTTTGATAGTGTGTGTGTGTGTGTGTATATATATATATATATATATATTTAAATGACTGAGAGAGGTATAAAAAGATACTCAATATCATGAGCCACCAGGAACTACAAAATCAAATTCACAATGAGATATCATCTCTCCTATGTCAGAATGTCTATTGTCAAAAAGACAGAATAACAAATATTGGCAAGGATGTGGAGAAAAGGAAACTCTTATAAACTGTTGGTGGGAATGTAATTTAGTGCAGTCACCATGGAAAACAGCATTAAGATTTCTTTAAAAACTAGAAATAAAGCCGCCATTTGATTCAGCAATTTCACTACTAGGTATCTATCCAAAAGATATGAACTCACTGTATCAAAGAGATACCTGCACCACCATATTTATAGAAGCACTGTTCACAATAGCCAAAATATGGAATCAAGGTGCTCATTATAAGACCAAGGCATAAAGAAAATGTGGCATATACACACAACGAAATAGTTTTCAGCCATACACAAGAATGAAATATTGTCATTTGCAGAAAAATGGAATAAAATGGAAGATATCATGTTAAAAGAGATAAGAGAGAAAGACAAATACTACGTTTTCCCTCATATGTGGGATCTACAATTAAAAAAATAAAACTCTATCTGAACACAGAACATTAATTAGTAGAGGCTGGTAACAGTGAAAGTAATAAAAAGGAGTTTGCATAAAAATAGGGGAATCTGGATGTTCTTCATTAATTGTGACAAATACACTAATTTGAAATGTTAACAACAGGAGAAGCTGAGTGTGGAGTACATGGTAACCCTTTGCACAATTTCACATTTTTTTTGTAAATTTTAAAGCTATTTTGGAGTAAGAGGCTAATAAATATTATAAAAAAATAAGGAAATTCTGAAAAATTGTCACACCCAACAAGTGCCCCCTGAGACATGGTTATTAATGTGGTATTTGGAAGAGACCGGAGCAGAAAAAGGACTATTGAGGTAAGCTGAGGAAATATGAAAAATTGTGGCATAATATATCAATATTTCTTAAAGATTTTTGTGAAATATATCAATGCAACATACCAGCAAAAGGGAAACTTTTTCTATAATGTTTTCACAATGATTCTATAAATCCAAAATGTTCTAAAAAATAATTATTTTTAAAAGGTCTGTTTCAGTTATATTTGTGCAATTTAGTATCAAATGTATGAAACTCATGAGTTTCAAATTCAAGCAGTTTTCATCAAAGAAAAAATATTTTTTGTTTTCTAAAATCACACAAATATATGCTTAGCATTCATTTTGATGTATTTACTCTGTGACACAAAGATATTTAACAAATTATTTGGATGTGGAGTAATTGAACAGAAATGGTGGCAGGGGGTGCAATTTTAAGTATCATAAATGAAATTGCCATCGATTTTCAGTAATTCTCCCTCTGAGCAGAGGTTTTTCTTGTTTGTTTATAAATTGTTCTGAGAGAAAACTAAAGCCAAAACAGAACTGACATATTATCATTGATGTTTTATGGGACAAATGCAACCTTCTAATCAGAAATAATTCATTTTTCTTCTTTCCTCAGGTCTTTTCCTTAGTTACATTGAAGGCAAATGCTGATGGGGTAAGCTGTCCTATATGTAGATAACTTGAGGAAACAATTGATAATAATTCTCTTAACATGAATCTACATTTTCTACATTATTTTCTTGGAGCAATTTCTCTCCTTATTTGCTTTACTGAAAGGATTGTGAATTTTATGCCTTTAAAAACAAAACTGAATTAAATGGTAATGCAGTAATCCATTGATTACAATAAGGCTTCTCATGGGTCCCAGTGTCTTAGTATGAAAATATTTTGTTGCTTTAATAATGCATTTAATGCTATATACACACCATTATAGCAGAGAATAAAGTATCATTTTAGTTAATAGCTCACTGTCAGTGCCTGGAAATCTTTATTTTTAAAAGGATTATTCTTTACCTGGATATGAAGATGGACTATACTACTTAACAGTGCTTTTCAAATGGCAGATGTCCTAAACAGCACTCTGGCCTCAGAATCAGCCCTTAAGGCATGCGGATCCAGCTGAAATGCCCATGAGAGTATTTCAGGCATGGAAAGCCAAGACACTCTGGGGAAAAAAAAACTAAATGAAAGATCTCCGCAAGTGAGATCCCAGTAGAAAGAACGGGTCATCAAAGGAGGTACCTTTCTCTGAAGGGAGGAGAGAACTTCCACTTTGACCATGGCCTTGTCTAAATATGATCAGAGTCGGTGAACTCAGGGGGCTTCCATAGCCTTGGCGACTCATGACAAGAGCCTAGGGTGATTACTGAGGCCATAAACAAGAGTGTCAATTTGTTAAGTCAACATCAGGAGTCACTGTGCACTTACTCCTCATGTAGGATCTTTGTCCTTAGTGTGCTGTACATTGAGATTTAATGCTATAACTAGTACTCAAACAGTATTTTTCACTTTATGTTTCTGTGTGGGAGCAAACTGTTGAAATCTTTACTTAATGTATGCTAAACTGATCTTCTGTATATAAAGAAAATTGAAAATGAATCTTGATGTGAATGGAAGGGGAGAGGGAGTGGGAAAGGGGAGGATTGCAGGTGGGAGGGACGTTATGGGGGGGAAGCCATTGTAATCCATAAGCTGTACTTTGGAAATTTATATTCATTAAATAAAAGTTAAAAAAGTAAATAAATTCAAAAAATTTAATATTTATGAAAAAAATATTTCAAATTCCAGATTCACAGCAAAAGTAAATGGGAGAAAGGGGATCCTTTGAACTTGGTATCAGTTACCCAATTACTTATGATCCAATATGGTATTACAGTCACATTCTTCCTCTTACTGCACTTGCATCTTCAATGATTTTGTATTTGTGTGTGTGCATATAATAAAATTCTAATACTTAAAGTATGGTTCTGCAAACACATTGTTGTGCAATCAAATTCTTTCCTTCAGTGTGCTTAAGCTTAACAGAAAACACTAGTAGTCTGTAGATGCTATGACATCTTTAGATGAAATGATTCCATTTATTCTTCTCCACTGGAACTAAACAACACTGATTGCATTTGATGTGTTTTTTAATAATTTTGAAAGGAAACCCTGAGTTCAGCAAAAGTGAAATTATATCACCTGGGAACCTTCAAGGGCATAAATTGTCTTAAAAACATCTTTTGTCCAGAACATTCAACACTTCAGGCCACATTTTATTAGTTGTGTAACATTTCCTGCAGAATTCAAATGGGGATACTTCAAATAGCAAACCATATGGTTGGCACCACATTTAGAAATTCTTTTTTTTTCATTTCTAGAGGAATTTCTTTTCTTTAAAAATGGACACAAATATCAAAACGTATTTGCCGTGTACAGGGAAACTATAAATTTGAATTTCTTTACCTGTCCTTAGCCATAAGATTGTGGAAATAGGTGGAAAGTCAGGAGTAGGTGCTTCATCTTACCCAGTTCTTTGCACGGTTTAGAACCAGCCTCACGGAGTTCTCTCATCCACAGGAAAAGACGTGTGTGAATAATATGGTTCTACCCCACCCCCCACCCCCGCCCCTGCCAATGAACTCCAATGATGGGTAACTTTCAGTGAAATGAAAGTAAAGCTTTTTCTTTCTTAATTGAAGAACACTAAATGAGGAAAGGAGACAGAAGAAAAATGACCACCATGAAAAGGAAGTTAAAATGATTTTATTGAACTGGCTGCATTCCTAGCCACCTAGTGTATGAAGTAATAAGAATCCGTCACATTACCGCACATGATTAACACTTAAGGCCAATCCTAACATTTCCCCACTACCCATCCATCAGTGTCTCAAGGAGGCATTATTCATATTGCTTCTTAGCACAGCCATCTTCTGTTGCAACACATTCAAGTCACCTTCCCAATCAGCACTACAGAACTAAAATCAGTTAAGTGTCATAGAAAGTGAAGTTATTTTTAAATTATATTTATTAACTGTTATTTTTTTTTAAATTTGAGTGACTGACAGATTTTTCTATCCTCTGATTCTCTTCCAAAATGCTAGCAAAAGCCAAGGTTGAGTCAGGCAAAAGCCAGGAGCCCAGAATGCAATCCAAGTCTCCTAGATGGGTGACAGAGAGCCAAGGGTTGGAACCGTCATTTGCTGCCTTCCCAGGGAGTAGATTAGCAGTAACCTGGATCAGAAAAGCAGAGAAGCTGAAAACCAAGCCAGGCACTCTGATATGGGATGTGGCTGTCCCAAGAGGTGATTTCACTGTTGCACCAAATGCCCACATCAAGTGCAGTCATTTTTAAATGGTGTACATAACTAATTAAGAGATGGTATAATCAAATGAATGCTAAATTGAAATGGCTTTTATTTTGAAGGACATCTGAATACTTACATGTGGCTATAATTTATCCTGAAAGAACTTGTTGATAAAAATAAACAAATACAAATTATCTCTCCTATGCCCTCGTAGAACATTCTTGGCCTCATTGTAATAAATTTCCATTTCCAGCAAAGTAGCAATCTAGGAAAAGGCTTGCAGCAGCAGCCTTCAGAGTTAAGGTTGCAGCATCCTTCACATAGCAAGCAGCCTTTAATATTGTGGGGGATATTAATCCACTAGTTACAGAAATACAAACATTGATTTCATATGTATAAAAATTAGTTTCACAGTTCTTCAGTACTTATTACATAATTTTCATGATAGGCTTCATTTTACCCATTTAAAATAAAAAAGGAAATTGAACTTGAGAGTTCATACAATTAAAAAAGTAGGCTTATCCTATATCCCAGATATTGACTATAAATTTTGTGTTATTTTTCACTCCACAATTTCTATACATTGGTAGGCATTAATTATAAGTTCATAGATGTCTGTATTCAACAAAGAAAGCTTTGTCATAAACAGCTCCAAAGCTGTTCATAGCGTATAATATTTGCAAACCAAGTGAATTAGTTAGGGAACATTCCAATTGCCTTTTAAGAAATGCCCCAGCCAGCGCCACGGCTCAATAGGCTAATCCTCCACCTGCGGCGCCAGCACACCGGGTTCTAGTCCTGGTTGGGGCGCCGGTTTCTGTCCCGGTTGCCCCTCTTCCTGTCCAGCTCTCTGCTGTGGCCCAGTAGTGCAGTGGAGGATGGCCCAGATCCTTGGGCCCTGAACCCACATGGGATACTGGTGAGGGGGCACCTGGCTCCTGGCTTCAGATCAGCACAGTGGGCCAGCCACAACACGTAGGCCTTGGCGGCCACTTTGGGGGTGAACCAACGGAAAAGGGAAGACCTTTCTGTCTCTCTCTCTCACTGTCTAACTCTGCCCGTCAAAAAAAAAATGCCCCATTCCATGACTGGAAATAGAAGTTATGTCAGTAGAAAGACGTTTAGGCACCTGTTCCTGTGTTAGACATCTAGTTTTCCACCACATGGCATGAACTCCTGTGCCCTTAAGGACAACACTGAATCTTGCTCTCAGCCTCTCCCAGAGAAGCCTGGCTTACAGAGAAGCCCGTCCCGCTCCCAGAAGTGCTGCCCAAGACAACTGCTCTCAATGAGAAGAGGGAAGCGGTAGGAAGCCCTGTAAGTTTGGTGCTTGCACTTGTTATGTCACACATGTTAAGACTGATCATCAAAATAAAACCTCCCCAAACCTTTGTTTTAAACAGAGTCAAAATACCACCTCTAGTCACTATTCCATTTGCCCTTAGTGATAGTGAATCCTCACCTTGTTCCATTGCTGACTGTACCCTCAGCTGCCTCAGACAATGTTCACTCTTTATGGAGCGGGAAAGAGCGTTGGACGTCACCTTGCTGCCTCCCTTTTTAAGTTGCACAAAGTCCTGCTTGGCTCTGAGAATGCAGTGTACCACCACCATTTGGGATTGTGACATCACAGATGTAAAAAACTTGAGATAATTGCATCATGTAGTTTGTGTTTTTCTGAGACAAGACCAGAAAAACCATAGATAGAGGTAGAAGTCTGAGAAGAAGTAAAGAAAAAACCCTATTTGGCATTAGACTTTGCTGCCTTTAAATTCTGTCTCTGTTACAATTAATCTGTTTCTTCATCTGTAAAATCAACATAATGCTGTTAACAATGATTCATAATTTCTGGGAGAATTTTGTAGTTACTTTTATAATATATAGACAGACCACTTCACTTGGCCAAAAATCAAATGACATTTTCTCCAAAGTTCTTCGATCCCTTGGCTTTCAAATGAGAACCTAAAAGTTCTTTTTATTTAATTTGAATGGAGGAGATGTAGCAGTTAAGTAGTAGAATTAATAGAGATTAAAATGTCTTTCAAAATCTCATCTTCTTAGATCCTGGGAAGTTTATCTCAGCTAGAATAATTCAAAATTATCATTTATATCATCAGTCTAAACTGTAGGAAGTCTACTAACAAAATCTTGAATATTCTGATGAGTTGTCCCAAGAATGTCCATAATCCTACTTTGTCTTTGCACTCATTCTCACATCTCTATTCTTTCTGCTCCTGTCATTCTCTTCCTTCTGGTCACTCTTCTGCCCTCCTCTAAAGGTTCAGCTGAGCGTCCAGTTAAAAAGCAGGTTTTAGGGACATGGTTGAGCTTGAATCCCAGCTCCGCCACGTGGCATCTGTGATTGTGTATTGCTCGTAACCTCTATGATGCTGACACTACCGCCCTAAGAAAACTGTCGGGAGAGAGATCTGGCTATTCATCTGCAGTGCCCAGTTAGCATGAGCCGATCCCTCTCCTCTCATCTACTCTCTTCCTCTTATTTCCTGGCTTCCCTTTCCTCCTCTTGGCATTTTTTTCTCCTTCTGTTATTCTGTTTATCTCACACTCTCATGGTTTCCTTTGCAAAAAGAATTCTGTCATTAATTCTCATCCTTCTGTTTTTTCTTTTATGTACAGGTCCTTCAACCTCCCTCCTTGCTCAACTAAAGAGTTGACCTAAGTCACATTCATTTTAATGTGATAAAAAAATTCAGCATGGTTTGATAATTTTTTCTTTTAAGTCTAAAAACACTATTCCAGGCTGTCCAGGTTTTAATAAAGAAATGTTTTATGTCTTCCAAAATAATTTTATATATTTCAAAATTAATATGATAAAAAAATTTGTAGCTGACATATACTAAAAATATTTTTATGTTGTGAGCCTTTGATCCAACAGGCAACTCAATCTATATCAAACAATTCATTAAACAGAACTGTAAGATAAGAAATTCTGGTAGATTGCTTTCAGTTATGTTATCACAATTTTGCATTTATATTGACTGTTCATGTATTATTTTTAAAGTAGATTTATTTTATATGACATTGAGTGTAAATAATATGTAAATTTTCTCTATTCATGCAACTACTTAAACTGCTTACTTAGCAAATTGAAGAATCAGTAGGATTTGTATTAAAATATGACTTGATGCTTTATTATTTCATTTTATTACTTTCTAATTTTACTTGAGGGTATATTTACATATATTTATATATGTTTATATCATATTTATTTTATATATATATTTTCAATTCTAATAAAAGACTGGTTCTAAAGAAGAGATACTTATGTTTTTCAGTGTGCATTTCAATACAGCATTATTGTACTGGTTCAGAGCAGATTACTGGAAAAAATGCTCTTCAGTATTAAAGTATCTAAATGAATTAATTTCTGAATCAATAATACTGAAAAGATATGGAAATGTCACTTTTAGAGGTATCTTGCATATAGTATTAATTAATTATAACACTGTTATATATCATTATTTTAAATACCAGGGTCTATTCTTCTGCTATCTGAAATGTTATTTTCACAGGGCATTGAGACGCTTTGGATTTTCTAACTCATAAATCAAGGGTTGTGTGGATTTGTATTCTTGGAAGAAGAGAAATGCATGCATTTATTCTCAATGAGAGAAACTCACAGGTTGCTTTCTTCCCTTTGTTATTTCATTGACTAATTAGACAGTGTGTTATGATAAACAATGCCTTCTTTAATTAGCTATAATTCTTTTTTTTTTTTTTTGACAGGCAGAGTGGACAGTGAGAGAGAGAGAGAGAGAGAGAGAGAGAAAGGTCTTCCTTTGCCATTGGTTCACCCTCCAATGGCCGCTGCGGCCGGCGCACCACGCTGATCCAAAGCCAGGAGCCAGGTGCCTCTCCTGGTCTCCCATGCGGGAACAGGGCCCTAGGACCTGGACCATCCTCCACTACACTCCCAGGCCATAGCAGAGAGCTGGACTGAAAGAGGGGCAACCGGGACAGAATCCGGCGCCCCAACCGGGACTAAAACCCAGTGTGCCGGCACCACAAGGCGGAGGATTAGCCTTTTGAGCCACGACACCGGCCTAGAATTAGCTATAATTCTTGCAAAGCATAATATTCCAGGAGTTGTTTTAAACAAATGGCTACTCAAAAAACTCTTTAACTATCATAGTTAAAAATCTTTTTAGAAGATAGTTTCTTTGAGGGATAGTGTGTTTCCCACTCATAACACTTCCCCAATTCTTCCCTAAGTGGGTTCACTGAGAATTGTTTTCCTTTCCCAGAAAGGTGCCCAAGACTAGAAGCAAATTTCAGTGTTGGTGTTAATGAGTAGGAGGCGTCAATGGAATTAAAAGGTGTCACAGGAGAGACTGAGCGTAATCATTGGGAGGACAGGAGCTTCCGGCTCTCAGAAGACAGACTTGGATATTTCAAAGATGGAGCCATTTCATGGGATAAAGAGTAAGGTTGGGACTGTGGATCATGAATGAGTAGAACAAAATAGTTTGTTGGCAGTTGAGAGGATGTGGAGAAATTGTGATGTTGGACTGGTCATCCTCATGAGTATAATATCACCCAGTTTCTTTTGATAACCAACCCTATCATTTCAGCAACTTCTGTTTTTCTTTTTTCCTAACATTACAACTGCAGTTCAGGCTCCTATAATCATTCATCTTATTCTGATATTTTATCCTGCATGGAATTTCCCACTCCTGCTTGCTCCAAGTCCATCATCTACATGGCCATCACTGTGATTTTTCTAAAACCCAATCATTTATTTCATCACCAATTAAAAACAAACATTGTATACCCATAGGCAAAGTTCATATCTGTTAGTATAGCACTGAAGCGTGCAAACTTTTTTCTTTTGTTCTTATCCAATGGATTGCTTTCTCCCATATATTTTTTCCCAATACTTTCTCTACCTTGGTTGTCTCTACACTCTGCTGTCATATCTTGGCAAATATCAACACATCACTTAAGACTTGCTGATACTACCTCCTCCATCTATGATGTAGTCTATCTATGCCCAGTCCTAACATCTTGCCAGACACTGGCCAACATTCCCTCTTTCAGCCTCCAATCATGTTGGGTATGTACTTCTCTTGTGACATTGATTAATACTGATTTATGCATATGTGTTTTCCCAGCTTGGTGGCACCTTGAAGCTGGGAATTTGTATTATTCAATATTTGACTTTGAGTTCCTAGCACCATATGTGATATTAACAGACACACAATAAAGTTCCAAGGACTCCTTAAACATCAAAATACTATTTGGATCATGTGAAATTGAGAAAGTGGTGATGGTTTTGAAAGAAATGTGAAACTAGAAAAACAGTATCAGCTTTTCTAGTAACAAGAGTACTTTAGGGTCTTCAGAGTTTCCAACAAGAGGAACATTCTCAAGGAAAAGAGAGATTGCTGGTATCATTGTGGGCGATTCTGTGAGGCTGCCTGCCTAACCCATGCAGTTAGCCTGACCGCTGGCAGGTGGCAGGAGCCCCAGGCATATTTCTCCCCACCCTGGCCTTCTGCCAATCAGGTAAACCGCTCCAGGATGTGCCCCAGGCCCACCTGGAAAGCTATCCTAGCTACGTGATCTTCAAGCTGATTGAAGAGGTATATTGGCGCCAGTGTTGGTTACAGTTACATCCTATAGTTAGTGCTTTCCTGAGTTAGTTATGCCCCTTCTGCCTGCCCTTTAAAAGTGTTCTTGGCTTTGAATAAAGATGGACCTATTCACCGAATCCTGTCCCGGGTGCTTCTTGAGGGAAAAACACCATTGCCGCCTTGCAGTACAAGCCGCAAGACAGGAAAAGAACTACAAGGTTATGGAGCAATGGTGATGTCCTGGGAAAAGTTACAAGTGTTGAGTGAGTATATTTTTCTTTTAGACACGAGGATATATCAAAGAAGGGACAGTGTTACTTTCCTCTGAATTTCAAAATCTCCACTTGGTTAATGATGACGGAAGTAAGATTATCATAGTTCTAAATAACCAAGATTATTTTCATATATATAGAATATATAGAATTCATAAAACTTTGACCAAAAACACGCTTTATCAGAAAATGGAGATCTATTCAAGAATCTACAAAATAGATAAATTTAATTATCACACTTCTTATTTTTCAATCAGGAAAATCTATTTATACTTCTTAAACAGCACTGATTAATTAGTTCATAGGGTTTTTTCTTAAGAAGATGTTAATAGAAGTCCTGAGTGGAAAATGAGGTTCAGCATCAGAGTTGTGATTAGTTTTAAAACTCCCCCAGCTCTACAAGAAATAATGCCAGAGATAAACCTTTTTCACTTTGTTATTCCAAGTGTTTTCAATTCCCATTAAGTAACATTCCTAGAAGCATTTTCTGAGGTATTTATCAAATCATTTTATCAAATGGTCTTCTTTTAATTTTACCTTCTATCATTAGGAGATACCATCCAAACAACTATAATGTTACTTTCTTTGATGTGTAATGTTTGTTGCTGGAAGTTAACAAAAAAAAATGAATTTTCTGTTGTTCCTCTACTAGAACCTGATTTTTATAAAATGACCTCCTATTATTGGGAGACCACTTTTGATCTGAAATATTTAGCAAAGTATTTCTTCTTCTGTGGCCTAAGGTG